TATATATAAATAAGATAGTTGTTGGCAAAAATTATTTGTACACCTACCTTCTGATATAATTTTTTTTTTCTTTCCTGGTGATATCAACCAATACAATTTATTTATATTAGTGAAAAAGAAGAAACTTCATGTTTTTTTAGAGTTTTCTTTTGAATATCAACATATTAGTGAAGGTAGTTATCGATAATTTCAAAGATAAATTTATCTTGAAAAAGATTTTTCTCTCCTTATTAATTATTATCATGTGATTTATACAATTTTTATAAAAAATAAAAGTTATCTTTATATATAGATATAGATTATCGCAAATTTTAATTTTCTATATATTCAATTATTATATCGATTATGATGAATATTTTTTAATAATAAATTTAACCATGATACTTTGAAAACTATACAATATATATTAACTATATTTTACAAAAAAGCCTGATTAACTTACTATTTATTACTGCAATACTGATCAAGGTTTTTATTTACATATTAATGACATGATTTCAATAATTGTATCGGCTTTTATATAATTTTATTAAAATAATTCATTATTTATTAAATTATTGTTTTTAATTATGACAATAAAATAAATTATAAAAAGATAAATTAATAAAATTAGTAATTAATATTACATTAAAAAGTGAAATTATCATTTTTTTTTCAAATACTAAAACTAATCATTATAGGATGAAAAGGGTATAAATTTTTTTATGATTTTGTTTTTTATTTTTCGTAACAAATTTCATATTATCATTGTTTATATTTATATTTATTGACACATACACACACCCAAACATACAAAAAAAATAAATAAGGTTACTCTCTTGCCTTAATTTTTTTGGCTCAAAATATAGTTAATTATGGTGTTTTACAACAACTCATCAGTTTCAGTAAAAAAAAAAAAACTCATTAATTCCGCTACTATTATTATAATTACTATCTTTAAATTTATACTTTTTAAAATGTAAAATATGCTTTCTTCAAATAAAAAATCGTTGGAGTTAAATTAGTGATTTTAAATTTAATAATTGTAATTATTTAAAAATTATTGGTAGGAAAATTATTTGTGCAAATATATTTTTTTTTTATTTTTATATATATATAATTTTCTCTCTCTATTTTCCTCTTCTCCCATTTCAACCACTACAATTTATTAATATTATCTCGCTTTTTTTTTCTATATCTTTTATTGTTATATTTTTTTTTTAGATATGATGGATTGACTTGATGTTCTTAAGATTAATTCATATTAGTATTAAAATAATATATAACTAGATGAAGTCATATTTTATGAATGTAACTTAATTATTGCTTATTAGTTTTAGAACATTGTGTAAAATGTTGACAAAAAAATAATGCTTTCAATAGTATTGGTACAAACGGGAAGTCATTAATTATTATATTAATTGTGATGAGTAACATTTTTTTAATGTTTCAAAACTATATAATAAATAATATTAATTATTAATTATTGTCTACCATATGGATATAAGGAAGAGAGAGATAAAAATAAAAATAAGAAATAAACAGGGAGATGGAAAGAGATTAAAAATATATAGGTGAAATAAAAGAAAAAAAATATAAATGATTCCAAAATTTTACTTTTTGGAGAATTTAAAATTTTATAATTTTAAAAAATTTCACAAATATTTGATTTTTAATTTTTCTTTTTGTAAGTTCTTCGTCCAAACAAAATATTCATTTTTAAATCTTTAAAACTCTAAAAAAAAAAGTAATTATCTCCTTTGAATTTTCTATCAAAAAATGAATTACTTTTTTTTCAAAAAAATAATGGGAAGCACTTAAGAATTATTATTTTTAATTCTTTATATAAGAAATAAATAATTAATTTATTAAAATCAATAAAATCTAGTTTAGATGGTTATTTTTCATTAATAATGTTAGAGAATTAAATTTAATTTCAAAAAATACTTTTTGAATTGATTGATTTAAATAGCGATAACATTAAATGACATCACACATAATTTGAAAGATAACTTTTTTCACCAATATGATTATAACTTGTATTATTAATTCATCAATAAATGTATTTACTTATGCGAGGATATAAAAATAATTATAATTAATATATTTTAAAATAAGTATTTATTTCTTATAATTAAGAAAAAATGTATTAATTATATATATATATAAAGGAATGGAGGAAGTATAAATTACTAGTATAATTAATAGGATACAAATTCTTCGAATTCTTTTAATAAATTTATAAAGAAATTATTTAAATGATTTTATACCCTTTTAATGAATGTATCTAATAGTTGTCTCGATCACTTGATATATATATATATATTTTTTCTCACTTTTTATCGCATTAAATATGTATGATTTTATTTTAACTAATTAGAAAATTGTATGTTTAGAAAACTTAACATTATTACATTGGGTTTTTTCACATGTACCTAGATTGTAGAATCAATACACGACAACATTGTATGTACGTGCAAATTTTTCGATAGTTTTTATTGAATTAGACACTTTTTTTTTTCCAATACTTCCTTTCCTTTCGCCCCTCAAAAAATCACAACATTTAAGTTTAATGTTATGAAAAATAAATTTTCACTATTCTGGAGTACTGTGTAGGATAATGAAATTATTGTTCTAGAAAGAACTTTTCGAAAATGTATTTTTTACATACTTTCAAAAAGTATTTTCTTGAATACTAAATTTATTGTTCTGGAAAATATTTTTCGAAAGTATGTAAAATAACACACTTCAAAAAAGTACTTTTCAAAATGTTATAATTAATGTTCCAGAAACACATTTTTAAAAATAGTAAAATTAATGTTTCAAAAAGTATTTTCTGAAAATATATTATTTTACACAAAAGTACTTTCTAGAAAATATTTTACATAATTTTGAAAAGTACTTTTTAGAAGTATGTTGTTTTGCATAATTCTAGAAAGTGCTTTTCATAATAGTAAATTTAGTGTTCCGAAAAGTACTTTCTAAAAGTATGTTAAAAACTCAATTTTGAAACTTGCTTTCAGTAAAATTATTATTTTGAAAAGTAGTTTTTGAAACAATAAAATTATTTGATGTTATATTTTTTAGGTGTGTAAATGAGAGAAGTGTTCAAAGAAAAAATGCACATTTGACTTGGTACTTTCGACATTGTCGAGAAAGTCACATGCACATATAATGTTGTCGAAAACTAATTCTACGTTTTGGGTGGCTGTGGAAATTAAAAGTGGAGAAGGAGAAGGTAATAGTGAGAAAAGTGAAAGAGGTGAGGAGAAGAAAGTAATATAAAATTAAAAGAATTAAAACTACCTATCGAAATAGATAGGGATGAAAAAAATGTAAGAGAGTGTATATGAAAATTGATAAAAGAAAGAAATGAAGTGTGTGAAAAAATACTAAATTAAATATTGAAGATATAAAATTAAAAAAAATTAAAAATTAAGAATACTTTAAAATTTTAATTTTTTTTTATAAAAGAGGCATACTTATTAAAAATATAAATAAATATATATATATATATATATATATCATGAGACAATATGATATCTTGCTCCTCAATAAAACCAGACCCAACAAATATTAGGCCCAGGCCCTCGTCTGATTAAATAAATATTAGGCCCAGGCCCTCGTCTGATTAAATTTCAAATTAACTTTCAACAAAATCTCTTGCTGATGCACCGTGAATACGTGATCCTGAGCATGCACCTCGAGTAGATAAATTCATACAAAACTAGCTTTTTAAAATGATAAAACTTCAAAATCTAAATAAGAACTAATATATCTTCAAATCTCCATCTACAATCCTTTGACCACGTCATCTCCATCATCATGTCTATCTCCATACTAAGTTTAAATTTATGTAATAGAATATTAAATAATTTTTAGAATTTGTAAAAAAATGTAAATTTGATGTATTTTTATATAATACATTAAATTTTAATAATCAAATTATTGAATTAAAAGTTTTTAATGTATAAATTAAGTTTAAATTTTTTTAAATAAAAAATTATTTAATACTTCGTTTCATTAATTTAAATCAACATATAATATATTTTTATAATTATCTGTTAATTTGAATTAATAAAATAAAATATCAAATACTTTTCAAATTTTTTTAAAATTTATTTGGCCTATTCATTAAGAACTTTTAATTTTACAGTTGAATTATTTAAATTTGATGTAAAACATAAATTAAAGAGTTTAGAATAATTAAATTTTACACTATCTTTATTCTTTAATTAATCAAACAATTATGTATGTCACAGACCAAAATGTGCTACTAGCTATACACTATCTTCTGGATCATATAATATGATACACGAACCAACAAATCAGAAATG